TATTTCTCCTTCAGATGTTTGCAGTGTCATTTTCCAGTTCTTTGACTGTAAGTACCCAGGCTCAATCCTCTTATCATCCTTTTATACTGGGCATTTTACGAGGTTTTTTTTAATTTCTCGTTCTTTTTTAAATTTATTGTGGGTAACTTGTTTCTTTGACGATCAATTAATGACCATTTTGTCCATCTTAAATCAGACTTTAAAGTAATGTTATTCCAAATATGTTTTGGGATATGAGTGGAAAATTTCTCTGGCATCTACTGGTCATTCTCATGTAAAAACTTAATTGGAAAATTGCAGCATTGGTAAAATGTATAGGTAGACTTAATCGCCAATACTCTAAATAGGCATTGAGTTATGACATAGACATCGATTTCAATCATAAAGCACGTTACACTAAAACCTTTCTTCAAAGCTACCTTTTCACCAAAAGGAACCATGTTACACTTCATATAGTGAAAACCTAGAGAGCTATTGCAATGACAAAACAAAACAAAAGGTAATGGAGGAATAACATCACTAACATGTTATCTTGAATACAACCATGCTATTAGAAAATAGAATCTGGACCAGAGGTCAGACCTGGCGGTTACAGAACCAGCCGGTAAACTGGTGCAGTCGTGCAGATACCCTATAAAACTGATGGAATTGAGAACTGATGCTGAACCACTCCAAAACCTTGAACCGGGTGGACCAGCAATATGAGTTGTTCTAGTTGCTTGACTTTTATAAAGCTCAAATGATACTACCTCTGGCCCAACTTTCTCTGTGTGTGTTCAATAAGGAATGAAATATGTGGCTCATAATGTTTCTCTCTCTTCTACAAAATTTGCAAACCACAATTTTTACTTTTCAACACTCTTCATAAACTCCGTGAAGTCAAACTGTAAACATCATTTTGGGATTGAGGGAGTAATTTCAATGGAAAAAAATGAAGTTCGTGGTTTTTTTAAATTATTTTTAATGCATATTTTTCATACAACTTTAGTTTTATGTTTTTTTATATTATTCATAACCGGTTCAGCTACAGTTGTTGTCCAACTCGGTTCAGTCACCTGCAGGGTTTAGCTTTGAACTGATAAATAAAATGTATTATGAGGTTTGAGGTGTTGCATCTTGGCTGACAGCAGCAATGTTATTTAAGGAAAATTAAAAGATAATACTCCCTCAGTCCCACTACGCATATCCCCATTTTTCCATTTTGGCCCATCCCAAAATTTTTGTCCCATAACATATTTGGTCATAATTGTGTGGTTCAAAATCATTCATACTTAACACTCAATATAGTTCACACAATTCCACAATTTCTTAACTTACGTGTTATTTTCACTTGTCCTGAACTTAGATACACAGTGGGACGAAGGATTGTTTCATTTTGTTAAGCATCATGACATTTGGACCAACTTTTTTTTTCATCTCACTTGGCTTTACTTAATTAACTTGTGGTGGGGTCAACCAATTCAAGGTTTCCAATGAACATAATAATGCAACCATGATCCATTCATTGAACTCATGGGATGGAATTTCGTAGATATGTGCATTCCATTTCTGAAAGTTTTATCACAGCATCTGAAATTCTACTTGTAACATGAATATTAGCCTTTTGGCAATATGAACACAGTCAGTGATTTTCTATTTCGTTTGGTTAACATTCTAATTAATGATGATGATTTTTTTTCCTTTGTGTTAACAGACACAGATGGCCTGAAAAACAATGTCGGCCTTCCTTCCTCCATTGCTCAGAAATCATCCTTAACGTACAACCATTATAATAGTGATCAACAAACAAAGCCTCCTCCTGGATTCATGAACAAGAATGACCAGATGGTTAGAGATGAATGGTCTGTGAAGACGCCGAAGAAAGGTTCAGGAGGAGGAGGAGGACTTGATTGCTTGGAAAGTGTGGTGCGCATTAAAGAAGCGGAGGCGAGGATGTTTGAGAAGAAGGCAGACGAAGCACGGAGGGAAGCAGAGAGCATCAGGAGGATGGCTGTGTTTCAGAGTGGGAAGGTGGAAGAAGAGTACGCCGAGAAGATGACCGGTTTGTGCCTGCTGGAAACTGAGGAACGGAGGAGGGATAAACTGGAGGAGCTTAAGATGCTGGAGAAATCACACTGTGATTACTACAAGATCAAGATCAGAATGCAGAGTGAGATTGCTGGCTTGCTCAAGAGAATGGAGGCTACCAAACATCAACTTTTGGTCTAAAACCTCCTGATTACTCTTCTTTTTTTTTTAATAGCATAATTTCTTTTCAGCACTTTTTTTACTCCTCCTAGCTACCCCTTGCTGAGTCTAATATGATCCAAGTTGTTTTTAACTTTTGTTAATTTATGTAGTTTTTGATATTTTCTTACAGTTTCTCTCTGTAACTTGCCAAAATGGCTTTTCTCTTTTTTCTTTCTTTCTTTCTTTAAAAAAAATTGATTGGGTGGTAATGTTGAATAGCTTGCAAATTGGGGTGTTGTTTATTTTGTAACTTTTTTGTTTTATGACTTTAGCATTTCTCTTGTTTGTGTGTATGATATTTAAATTGTGTAGGGTCGTTTGCTTGGTGTTCTTTGGTTACTCCATTCTTCAATAGGAAAAAAGTCATTTTAAGCACACACCCAGAGATATAAGTTTGTCTAATTTGACTCGAAAAAATCAAATTAGAGAAATACACTAAAACGTAGCGAGTATGATTATTTGGGAGGCTAACATTATGAGATTTGTAAAAATTTGATCTCGCCCTGAGATGTATTCAACTATTACGCTAGGGTCGTCTCACAAAATGTATTGGACCTGAGGTAATTAATATAAAGGCCTTCAAATTCAAAAAATAAATTATTTTTCATAATGTATTAAAAATATAAATTATGAGCCTATAAATTGATCGGATGAATTATTTCTCCTTTAGTCATTCTTTTAAGCAAATTCTTTGATTTAACAAATCTTCAAAATAAGTTTATCCAAGAATTCATTCTCGATGACCATCAGAGCTAGTCCAACGAGTTAATTCATTCAACGTCCTCTGTCTATATGAATGGCGTTGTTAGGGGGCTGAGAAGATTCTTTTTCGAAGAGAGGTGAACTTTTGATGTAATTTTAAAATATATAGTTTTAACTTTTAAAGTAAATATTAGACCTATAATCAAATAAATTGAATTGAAAATAATTTCAGTCAACCTTCGTAAATCGAACTGGTAAGATTATTTTAGCACAAGGGGAGTATCACAATTCATGAGTATTTGTTCAGTTTTGATTTTTTGTTGTCAAAATTGATAAACTTGAATCCTTATTCGAATAAAATCTATATTACTACCTCCGTCCCATTTTATAACGCCTGTTTCGGTTTACGATGTTTGACTGAAATTATTTTCAAACCATTTTATATGACAAATGGTATAAAATTAAAAAATAAAAATTACATATTAAAAAACTACATCAAAAAATCTACAAAACTAGTAGTGACAATAATATTTTATTTTATCAAACTGCTAACGAAAATAGAAAAAGAAAGTGAATGAAGTTTGACCCTGTGAATAGTAAACAGGCATTATAATTTGGGACGGAGGGAGTATATATTGATACCAAAACAATATTATTTAATTTTTGTTATAAAATATTTTTAAAACAATATTTTTTCTATTTACTCTTCCCATTTGACTTTTCTTAGTCAAAGTTTGTAAATTTTGACTATGATATGTGGAAAAAATATATTGTATTACAATATAACTTTAATATGAATATATATTCATTTTGAAATATAGTTTTCAAATATCAAATTTTTATAAAATATATCTATACATAAATAAAGATATTAGTGGTCAAAGTACAATCTTGGAGACCATAAGAAGTCAAATGGGAAGAACATTTCCGGACAGAGAGAGTAAAATATATTGTAATTTTTTTTTAATTTTAAATCAAAGATTGGTCTGACTACAAAACGTTAACACTGAAAAACATATTCAATGACTAAGGTAGTACTCCGTATTTAGTAGTCAAGATTTTGCAATATTGATAATGAAAAGTCAAATTTAGCTCTCATTGAAAAACAGATGTACCTCACACGGTATACGGAGTAAAAGCCTAAAACATGTCTTCGCACAGAGCTTTGAAATTCTCTCATTTCAGGACCGATAGTGAATCCAAAATATATACTCCTAATTCCCATTTTGATTACAATTTTTTTCTCCTTTCAATAATTTTTGTTTACGCAATTTTATTAAGTGAGTATTTGATAAAAATAAAATATTCTTGTCACCTCTTATTTTGTTAAACTTTTGACGTAAATTTTAATATGCAATTTTTATTTTTTATTAATATACCGATTTGTAAATTTAAAAAAGTTAGAGATTTTTCCTCGTAAACCCCAATTTGTNGTTATGCCCGAACCTATCTCCAAAAAACACAACAGCCCCATATGACCGCACGCACACTGGCCACAATCCTTGCACGAATGCTTAACCAATGCATTGAGTCCATGGAGAAATCCACAGCAAGAAAGATCACATTTTTCTCAATTCCTGTGCTAATCTTTGTCAATATCCTGATCAAGCAAGACTTGTGTGTAATCGGAGCCTCATGTTCATCCTATGTACTACCTCCGTCCCTCCGTCCCTGAGTATTTGTCTAGTTTTAACTTTTTTCAGTCGCCTGTTTTCAACCTGACCTATAATTAAATAAAATATATATTTTATATTAATTACATAAAATAATATTTTGAAAATATTTGATATAATAAATCTAATAAAACCATTTTTGTATCAATATCTAAGATAATTTTTACTTAATTTGAGGTCAGAGATTTTGACCAAAAAAGTCAAAAGTGGACAAGTACCCCGGATCGTAGGGAGTATAATATAATACAATACTCCCCCTGTCCACCTAAGATCTTCCTATTGCGCGTTACGAGGTTTGACCGACTTTATTTTCAATTCAATTTAATTAATTATAGGAGTAAAATTATAAAATAAAATTTATATAGTAATAAACTACATGAAAAATTCTACAAAACTAGAGGTGACAAGACTATATTATTTTATGAAATGACTAGTAAAAATAAGCAAACAAAGTGAGTAAAGTTTGACCCTGTGAATTGAATAGTGTCTGGGAAGATCTATGGTAGACAGAGGGAGTATATTGATATGACATTCATTTCAACTATTCAATCAAATGTAGCATCAAGTTTACTTTTATATTTATAAATTAAAGTAGTAATAATAGTCCGTAACAAATGATACCGCTCAGCAATACGTGTGAAAGTTAAGATTTTGTTGGACTGTGTGACCGCAATGGCACCTACCATGTCACGGCATTCTATTGCTGAGATTCAGCTTCCTTCTTCTCAACTAATCTGATGAAATTCTGAACTATGGTTTTCCCTTCCTTGGTTATGATGCTTTCAGGATGGAATTGCACCCCCTGGCATATCATCCAAAATAAAAACTGTTAGTTCAAAAAGAGAGGCAATTTGTCCATCAATAATCTGTTTGTACACCAAGTGTACAGAAACCAAACCTTGTAATACACAATGGTTTGTGAAACAAACGAGATGTATTTGTACAAGAGTACAAAACAAACACAACTTCTCTCGTCTAGGGGTAACAGGTGTCCCTATGCTGCAGAATTTGGATGGTGTACACAATCTTGATGTCATGGTTGATTGGTCCATAGCTAAACTGGAGGGAATACCATGAGGCAGTCTCTAGATGGTTCTAGAGTCCATTTCTTTGACATGTAAGATGCTGCTAAAAGCATGTGCAGTGGCAAGGAAGATGAATGTCTTGCACTACCACATCAGCTCCTTCCACTCATATCATGACATGGCAAGGCCAAAATGCCTTCCTTGGTGAGGCATGAGTGTGGCACTTCACCCTTCTTTTTTTCTTTTTTTTTTTAACTTTTTTTAAAAATTTTTTATGAAAAAAATGCATAAGAAAGTAGAATAATTTTTTAATAAAAATAAATAATAAAAAAAATTTTATGTTCAAAAAGACAAAAAACATAAAAAAATGTAAAAAGTGATAAAAATAATGACTTGCGACTACAGAGCTTGCCACTTCATTCACTTGCCACACGCTGACTTGACTATTTTGATTGGTTAAAATATTCCATGTCACCATGTGGCATTCCACATCAGCATATAAATTTCAATGCAAGTGACATGATTGTAGTTAATAATAAAGCCCAAGGCTGTCCTGTTGTGTATGAATGAATCATTACCAATTATATCTATGGAGGCAATGTATTCAAAGTGACATCATGACCTCAACATCACTTCACTCTTTGTTCTTAATGACATATGAAGAAATAAAGAGATGAGAATTGGGAAGTGGGACCCGACGACAGTCATATGAAAGCATAAATTTATTTAAGAGTAAATTCCCGAACTGTACTTTTTAATTGGGTTTTTTTACCACGCAAATTAATACTCCGTACTGCCTATTGCTAGTGATCTTACGTATCTAAGAACACGCCCATGGTTCCACCATAGGTCCTTCGATTAACACTCCATTATATCTAAATAGTAAATTTTCAACAAAGATCCTCTGTAAATAAAGTTAGAAATAAATAAAAAATATTTTAATTTTTATTATATACAAATATTGATAATAGCTTAGTACTGTTAACCTAATTAGTGTTTATTTTATTCCAAGTTTAGTTTTTTTATTCGTGAGTGAATGCCTTTAAATTGGGTTAGTTTAGTCAGTGTTCACTTTATTAGTGTCTGTTTTTACATTTTGCGTGTTATTTTTGAGAATATAATAAAAGAGAATATTTAGTTTTTTTTCACAAAAAATGTTAGACGGGATAAAATATTTTTATTGAAAAGAAAAGTTGGAGAGTTTATATAATATAATAATGACAACATTTTTACAATAACATTGTCTATAAAATAAAATTTATTTTATTTTGATTTATAATTTGGTATTTACAGAGGACTAAAACAAAGAATAAATTTAATTCACAGGGGACATTCGTTGGAATTTACTATTAAATTTAAAAGTGAATTAAAGCAATCTTAACCTTGGGGGGTTGGGGGGGTGGCTTTGGTGGGCAGCACTCTCAAATTTATAACACTACAAGGAGTACTAGTTTGTGGGGTGGATCTAAATGTGGAAAACGGTAAACTACAAATGACCGTTTCTGGAATTTATACTTTATTTAGATCAACAAATCAATTTGAAAACACACCTATATGAGTTCTACATGTGAGACTCTTTTTATGAGATGGGAAAAGTAACTAACATGAGGATAATGTAAACAAGCCCTTAGACCATGCACTACACATGCTTCTAAATTCAAAGCCTATATTTGCCTAATTTGGCACTGCAATTGGGAAGTGGGATCTGCTTATGGATTACTCAACTCCCCACAACTATCTTGTATGTTTGACATTCCAATCCAGCTTATGATCACTCTGACAACAGTTTGATGCTTATTGCTTCGCCAATCACCAATTTAATGAAACATCAAATTGAGGCTTATTTAATTTGATGCTGATTTCTTGTTGATTAAGAAAATACCAAACACGCTCATCATGTTATTTCTTAGATGACATAGTTCAACCTCTATATGGTCACAAGTCTAACAGAAAAAGAGTCCTTACCAGAAGATGCCGATACACTTTGTGACGAGCAGCCATCACCAGCCCATCTTCTGTCCATGCTGTTATCTCAAGTTCATCTTTGGGGAAACTATCCTTATCAATCACGAGGCTATGATATCTACCTGCAGTGAATGGGCTAAAAGCAGGCGCATTATGAAAAATTAAATGATATTTTATTTATGCAGGATGATAATGACTTCAACATTCTATTTCTAAAAAAAGTGCCTAACAGAAAAGGATAACAATTGGCTTGAGTGACCTAGCCAGTGGCAGATGCAAAAATTCCTAATCAGCAGGGGGGGAAAATACAATGGCCACGCACCATCATCATACATTGAAAAGAAACTAAACATTATTGAATAGAAAGACAACAAAAGATTTGTGCTATTTTTCAAATGCTAAGGTAATAAAAATGAAAGCATACTAGGAGATTTTTGTTACAAATTAAATTAAAGACATAATTTTACCAGGATACTCCACATACATATTAATCTCATATTTTAAGTTAAAATCTAAGGATAGCGGGAAGTTTAATCCCCCGATGCAGAACCCAAGGTATAAAGCGTTCATATGTTCCAAAGATTAAAAGACTTTACCATAAATCTTTGGCTCTTTCTGACAGTATTTACAATGTAAAAATTCAAATTTCCAAGCTTCACATCATTTCTTTTACATTTCCGAAATGAGGAAATTAAAAGTTTAAAACAATGAAAAGAGTTGTCAGTCTGTCACAAAACAACAATACTACTCCGGTGCCTCAAAGGCTCCCGCCCATTGCGGGGTGGGGGGGTCGGATGCACAAGTCTGACCCTAGGTCACATAATGTGATTTCGAAGACGGGGGGCGAGTGCGCGGATGGCGTCACAGTTAGAAAATTTTGTGAGTGTGGGTGCGACTTAGTTCACATAGTAAAAGAATAAAAGTTATTTATATAGACATGTTATATTATATTTTTCATATATCAACCCTAATTTTGAATAACAAAATTAGTGTCACACTCAAAACCATACAACTATACTACGAAATTTCATTTGTTCCATTTGATTCTTTTAACTTGCTATTTAGACAGTCAAACAATTTCATCTTTATTTACATATTTTTATGTATCATTTGATAAAATAATAGTCATGTCATCTCTTGTTTAGTTGTTTTACACAGAATATATTAATTTTATTCCATATTATTTAATTGTATACTAATTGCAGAGTTTTAAATAAATTGAACTCTAGTCCATGAAACAATTAAACAAAACAACATACATCTTTTAAAATTTCAAAAAAAATTACAAATTAAAGTCATGGCGTGAAAGAACATGAGAAAGAATAACATTTTTTTCTAAAAAAATAAATCTTACGTACAACTCAGACTCCAATTAAGTTTCAGATTTGCTTCCGTTGAAAATTTGAGATCTACAGCTGCGGTGTGGTCATTGAAGAGGTGGAGAAGTATTGAAGATAAAAGAATCAGATTTCAGGATACAAGTGACTCAAGGTGCGCAAATTAAAATTTCCAAGTGTAATTAGAATTTCCTAGTGCGCGACTTAAACTATTTTAATGCGTAAAAGAGCACCGGACGCACGCTCAGATCGCCAATTTGCGAATGGTGCGAGAAGCAAAATTTTATTTACATGAATTATGTTATATAGGTCTGACCATTATGTTTAAAACATAGAGCGGCTGTAAGCACTCCATTGTTTTCAGATATACACAGTCTGTCACAAAGTAGTAGCTAATTTAATTTGGAAGAACACTGTGAGCCTTATCTAATGGTCAAGGAAAGAACCAAAGATGGCAAAAACTGTTAAATTCTACCTGCCTGCTCAGTGTAGAACAAAAAACTAGTTTTAAGTTTAAGGGCATAAATCCCAACAGGAAATGGTGTCTATTTATTTGAAAATGATCATGAATCATATGAATCTGATATTGAGCAAGGATCTTCTCAAGACATTAGGTAATGGACAAGATTAATATAACAAAACTTTATGCTCAAACCCTAACCATAAACCATCACTACATCCACTTTTTGACAACTGAATGATGCACGAAGTACGAAAAAGGACAAAAGAAGCAGACAAAGCAAACAAGCCAACTCTAAACACACATGCACACAGATGGCATAACACAACAGAATAAGGCAAACAACACACTGCCAAAAATTATCAACTAAGGCCCTCCATCTACCCAACTACTCTAATCTTTGACCTCAAGAAAAGACAAGTATCATTGGGCTTCATGGGACAGGATTTGTATGCCAGAAGATAAGGGATGTCTGGGAGTCAAGTCCTTGACCACTCTACACAAAGCCTATAGTCTCAAGTTATGGACTTATCATGCAAATAATTCACTATGGAGTCCATTCATGAGAACTAGATACCCCACAAATAACAACTTCATTCCCAAAATTACAGATTCCACTATATGGAAAAGAATTTTTTCTATACACAACTGTGCTACTAATATCTTTTTTGCAACTGATGATGAGGACATACAATGGAGACATATTCACCTCAATCAGTTCATGCTAAAGGAAGCATACCAAGCAATCCAAGCACATGTTGAAGGAGAGGAAAACCAAGACATGGAAATCATCTGGAAAACAAAAGAAATACCTAAAATTGCTTTTTCCAGTGGAGAATCTACTTTAACCTACTACCCTTTCCCACAGCATTAACAAAATTTGGGATTGATCCTTGCCAACTCAATGCCCATTATGCAAGGAGAATGAAGACTCAGCACTTCACACTTTGATTCAATGCCCCTATGCACGAAGCATCTAGAACTACTTTGAATGGATCTTCAAAATTCCATGGCAAACAACGCATGGGGTGAGAGCTCACCTGCAAAGATGGTGGAGCAACTGCAATCTCAAGACGCTCGAAGAGTGGATCAAAGGTATCCTACCAGGGATCATACTTCATCAAATCTGGAAGGAGAGAAATCTTCGTCTAAATGAAAACACTACGAAGGAAAAGCACAAATTAATTCAGGACTGTATAGGGCTGTTACAATCCTGGGTTTTAGGGAGAGCACCTAGCAAGCTTAAGAGGTATGGCGCCTACCGCCCTGGCGTCTTCCCACAGAGCTCTCTCCCATTCAGATCGGCACACATAAGATCAAAATCCATTGTTGGAAGCTAGCACCAGAAAACTGTCTACATCTTTCAACAGATGTAGCATTCACGAACTCAAAGATGATAGGGGGAGCTATCCTATGCAGCGGTCATGGCAACTATATGGCAGCCAGCACATGGAGCATCAACGCAAGCAGTATTCTAGAAGGAGAAGCATGGGCTTTACTTCTTGGACTAAATTGGGCCATATGCTTCTCCAACAAGATTTGGGCTCACATAGACTCGGAGACGATCACAAAAGCAATGCATGGAAACAAAAACCCGGGAGTTAATCGAGAGGTATGGACAGGTGTTCAACGAGCAATCCAAGAAGATGGAAACAATCTGCGTCACATTTACAGAGAAGGAAATATGGGAGCACATAATCTAGCCAAATGGGCTAGCAAGAAAATTTTCTTTTCTCAATGTATTTCACTTTCATCTATTCCCCCTTCTGTTAAGGAAGCCATTATGGCAGATATAACCCTTCCTTTTTTGCGTTATTAAATCAATAAAAATCTTCTCTTAAAAATACACACACACACACACACACACATATATAGAACATAAAACACAAAAAAAAATCTATTCACTACCTACCACTATTCCACTAATATAAATGTTATTGAATAAATTTCTAAGAGCTTACTTTGGCAACCCCGTAAACAAGCCATCTTCTTCACCCTCATTGTAATACACAGGGGAACTTTTCCCATGCATCACCCCATAGGGAGAACGCACTACATTTCCTGCATATAGAGTTCCAAAAATTGCATTAAAAACTGCATCTTTCACCTAGGAACTAAGATGCAAACTATGATAGTAGGAATTTAGACTAACTAAAAGATAGTAAAGGTGTGCTCTGCCTCTTGCTGTTCTGTGTCGATTTTTCACAGATACCATTTGAAAGTTCAAGAAAGGTCAAATACTTGTAAAAAGGCTTCACGTTTGACTTTGCACGGAGATTAAAAAAGTGAAATTGTGTGGTTGGAAGAGGTGAAGTGGAGAAAAATCATGAGCCACACAAGCTTTTCCAAATATGGAAAGTGGACCTTTTTTGGGACGAACAATAAAAAATGTGAAACTTTTTTATAGCGCAGAGGAGTATATATTACAAAATTAGTTTTGTCCAAATATACTACAAGTATTACACATTTAATGAAAATCTTTGAAAAACATTCGTAGATGATATTTATCTAGGCATGCTTTATCCATGCACTCCAATCTTGTATGCATGACATCCTTCTTTCTTTTTCCTATTTATTATGCTCTATCACCGCTCATTCCAATTCATAAACGCATCAGGTGCGTTCCTATTTCCACAATAAACAGTTCTCTTGTTTTTTGTTGCTGTTTTGTCAAATATGAGTTGTATAATTGTCATAAAAATGTAGAAAGTACTATTGGAGTATCCTAGTTGTGAAAAAAGGTGATGAAGTCTTTGTGAGGTAAGTAATCACTTAGTGCTGATATCTAGCTATATATAGGCACACTATAATTCTGGTATTGAACATGAAATAGAATAATAGATACTACATTTCATTTTCTTTTGTATTGTATCAAGGCAATCACTATTTTGGTGTGCGCAACTCCTATTTTCAGCAAGAGTAGTGGTCTCGATACTGTTCCACGCTTCCAGCTCCGGTAGTGGTCCATCAAATCTGAACCCACCACTAACATCTTCTCCTCATCGTGACCCCCCACTGGTAACCCCACCCCCACCTCTTGGGAACATGTCATCATATTGTTCTTTTTCCCATTCGATATGATTGGTGCATGTGCTTTAGACACCATCTCCACAGGTGTGCACATATCCCTTCATCCATTTAACTACAGATGTTGCCACAATCACGTGAAAGAAAAGCTAGTTAGAAAATATGGGTGCATCAATATAGTCTATGGAATATTCATCCATGAACCTGAAACTGTACCCTGCATTTCAATCATCTCACATAGTCACATTCGTGGAAAGAAGTGAAAAAAAAAAAGCCAAGGCAAGTTAAATCAATGATATTTGAAGCTTGTTTTCTTATGGATGATTAGATCCAAGATGACCAGTCTGAAACAACAAAACTTGGATATTCAATATTTACTCGGCTGAGTTGAAGCTTTACTGTGAAAACAATAGTATTTAATCTATTGCAGAATGCAAGGGGCAATCGTTAGCACAAAGGCAGTAGCTTGTGATGGTGTTGGTCTTCGCAGCTTTGCACCAGGAAATACAATCCACTCACAAGAAATGTCTTCCAGTCCAGCTATTTCCACTTTGACTTCCAGTCCAGCTATTTCCACTTCGACTAATGGCTTTGCCAGATTTCTTCAGGCAGCACTGAATTTTCATGTAACACCTGTGTGGTGAATCCATGGATCTTAGCTCAAAAATCCGGGAAGGGCACAGTCCACGAGAAAACACAAGAGAGAACCATCTGGAGCGTGATTTTGTCTAAAATCATAGTTTTGAAAGGTGGGAGGCGGGCGAGAGGGCTTTATTTTAAGGGCGAGAGGCAGGCAAGAAAAAGGCGAACATGGTGCGTGTGTAGTTAAATATTCCAAAAAAATGATATATATATATATATATATATATATATATATATAGTAATGCAATTGATAATGAATCCAAAATAAATAATAGATAGTATATATAAATAGACAAAACTAAACATTATATCTAACCAAAACACAACTGCACAGAAAAAAAGAGAAAGAAAAAAAGAACACTGCTAGGGCATATTTTATTTAAAGAAGCGTGCTTAAGCTGTAAGCCCACTTTTACAGGCCCATATTCGAAAAATAAGAAAAGCAATTGCCTTATGCGTCGGTTGAGGCGATAGAGGAAAACAACTCAGGTGCACTTTAGGGACATCGCCTCACCTGACTCCATTGAGGCGCTGCAAGATCACCCATTCACCTGAGGTGCCTTAGGCGAGGGAGACGAGCCTCCGGAGCGCCTCTCAGAACACTGCTAAAAATGGACACTAGGGTTATGTTAAGGAAATACACCTAGTTCTGGCAGTGTTGCTTCTATCCTATCGTCATCCTACCACATGAGTAAGAGGCATAGCAAGAGTCTAAAGGATCCAAACATCATGTGTCTTCATTTAACTTTATAGAATGTGTCTTGAATACATCTAGTCATATTTATGATCATCATTATCTTTTGTCTAGTATTTCCAAGCCTCAAAAGTTACCCTTAGGGCGTTTTTACCTTAATTGTAACTAGAGTCTGGAAGCTAGAATCTAGGGATAGAAGATTGGAGTCTTGATACAATATTAATTTCAACTAAACTCTAGAAACCGCACTCCAGAAACTAGGAGAACGAACTTGGAGTCAGGAGACTAGGAACTTGGAGTCTAAATAATTGGAGTTAAAACTTGAAAAAGGTAGGCCCCTAATAAATCTCTTAAATGGTATCTAAACCCACCCTCTAGAATCAGAATACTCTTTCACAAACATCCTTAAAATATAATCAGTCTTGTATGTTCTTCATAGACCCTATAACCTTGTATTTGTGCATTTGTATCAGCATAGCTCGACCTCTCAATTGTTCTGTAACATTTTTTTTCGATTCTATGTCAAAAATATTTTAGTCGGAAGTTAATATCATTGTCTTCATCCATCATCTCAGTTTTGGGCAGATGTCCTAATCACTGCATGCCAGCTCACTAACAGAATGCCTTCCTCGGTCCGTAATAATGATATGGGTGGGGCTAATACCTAATTGATGCTTACACAATTGCTTAATAATGATATGGGGCAGATTTTGTTAATAAGTTGGGCCCACATATTAAAATCCGTTCTTCTTAAAATCTTCAAAATATGGGAAAGTAAACTTACTTGATGAAGAAAAGTGACTTAGATGTTCATGGTTTTGTTGATCATAAATATTGATCTGATCTTGATGAGGAGGAGATATTAGTGGTTTGTCTCCAATTTCAAACAGTAAGGTTGTGATAACCTTGTGTTCATTGCCAATGGAGCTAAAAGAGCTATTATGGACAATGTGTTAGCTTTGGGTAAAAAATGGACTTCATTAAAATGGCACATCAAAACTCCATCGCTTCTTACTTTCTATGAAGTTTTGGGAAAATGCATCAAGGATCTAACAAAAACAGCATCTCTGTGAACAAGGGTAAGGTTGTGTATATCTTGAACTCTTGACCCCTCAAACCCCAATGTAGTTCGAAACATACGGGGTTCNAATTTTGGCATGAGAAACTAAAATACTCATAAACAAGACAGTACTATTGGTCAAAGTATTTTGGAGAAATCATAGTACCGAAGAAAGCTACCTAGGAGATATTAGTGGTTTGTCTCCAATTTCAAACAGTAAGGTTGTGATAACCTTGTGTTCATTGCCAATGGAGCTAAAAGAGCTATTATGGACAATGTGTTAGCTTTGGGTAAAAAATGGACTTCATTAAAATGGCACATCAAAACTCCATCGCTTCTTACTTTCTATGAAGTTTTGGGAAAATGCATCAAGGATCTAACAAAAACAGCATCTCTGTGAACAAGGGTAAGGTTGTGTATATCTTGAACTCTTGACCCCTCAAACCCCAATGTAGTTCGAAACATACGGGGTTCATTGTGTAGGTTGTGATGACCCTACTTTCATTCCTCAATCTAATAACTTTCAACTTTTTGGGTTAGACAATATTCGATTTTATGTGATGCTTGAACGTAAATAGTTTAAGCGTGTTATGACCTCGTCATTGATGAATTTAATTGTGCATGACAATTCTTGAATATTGTTTTATAAAATATCATCATTTTATCAAATAATCATTCAAATCATAAGCAAATAAATTTTAATGAAAAATTATTCAAATAAAATCTGAAGGCTTGAATGATCACAAGAAACCATCACATGAGCAACTTGATTCATTGATCTGCTCAATCACACGGTGCAAATAAGAACCACCCTCATTACTTTTGAGTGCTTGGACGGTCTGACCATACTCACAGAATTCACTTACTAAGCCGCGTTTTCCGTATTGGTACGCAGCGTACCAAATCGCAATTCGATTGCGATCCGAACGTCAGCAATACGACGTAGCAATTGATGTGGTCCAGCCCACCAGATCGAGCTGGTACGGCATACCAAAAGCTAAATGAAATCGTCCCCAACCCCTTGGTACGGCGCACCAAGTCAAAAATTAGGTCGTACCAATCGCCGGAGGTACGGCGAACTAGTTCCAGATTGACTTTCCCTCTTCCAATTGGCGACTTTCTTCAGTTCCCAGGCGCATATTGAGTATCTCCACTTTCCAATGTCTTATATAAAAAAAGTAACTCATTTAATATTTACTACAAGATTCATTTTACAATTAAATACTATACCAATATATATACTAAGCACTGCACATGTATTGTCTCACACTCTCACTACTCACAACCCAACCTCTATTCCTCTACTGCAATTCTAAATTTCAGAATCAGTATATCAACTTTTCCTCTCTTTTTTCAATGGCTTTTGGAAGAAATAATAAATCTCATAATACTAGTACACTGTACCACTTTGTACCGAGATGAACCTACCCCCCTTTGTACCGAATTCGTCACCTCTAGCGAATCTCGTACTCATACTGAAACGTACCGTGATTTAGGTGACTATGGGTCTGACAATCTTTTTCTACGATCAAACAAACAGTTGGAAAATTTCCTCGCCACCAAAACTTCTGCTATTGTCGAGCAATTCTCATGTTTCTTGAGTTTTATTGAATAAATTAGTATCCTATCTCAATTGATTTTTAATGTCATTTGTAGTAATTTACACTCCCTCCATCCTTAAATGAAATTTAGGGTTTGACATCATAGTGTTGAAAAGTACTCCCTCAGTCCTTCTGTCCCGTTGTTTTTATTACAAAAGAACCACGGAGATGTGACTGAGGAAGAGAAATGTCATGATTACCCCTACTTTTGGGTGTCGAATATTACACAACTAAGTAAATAAATAAATAACAATAAATAAATAAATAAATAAATAAATGAAATAGAGGGTAGTCTACAATTAATTGAAATCCAGTGATTTGTTGACCACAACTAAAGAGATTTAACAATTGTCTGCAATTCAACTTCTTCTGTTCTTAGCTATCATGTCTCAATCAAATCATCAAAAATGAAATAATACAACAAAAAATCTTATCCCACTACGTGGGGTCGGCTACATAGATTAAACAACACCATTGCACCCTATCATGTATTATATTAGTTGTGAGATCATTCACACGAAGGATTCCCTAAACCACTTCATACCGAGTCTTCTTAGGTCTACTTCCTTTAGCCACATGTTTATTCACTATTTCTCGCTAGATGCTCTGTTGGTCTTCTCTCCACATGTCCAAACCACCCATGATGAGTTTCCACCATGTGTTTTACCATAGGTGTCACTCCAACTTTAGCTCTCATATCTTCATTCATTATTCTATCCATACGCGTATGATCGCTCACCCATTGAAGCATTTTCATTTCCACCATACTAATATTGTGTTCATGTTCACCCTTTGCTGCCCAACACACCCAACACTCTGTTCCATTCAATATAGCAGATCTAATCGCACTATTGTAAAATTTTCCCTTTAGTTTTAAGGGTACTTTTTTGTCACATATAAAGCCAGAAGCACTCTGCCTTTTTGACCAACCGGCTTGAATCTTATGGTTAACATCATCCTCTATTTCTCCATTGTCTTAAATGATACACCCACAATAGTAAAATCTCTTTAGTTGTGGTATAGTATTTTCTCCAACTTTCACCATGATGTTACTATTTCTCCTTCCGTTGCCAAACTTGCACTCCAATACTCTGTTATACAGTTATAATACGACTTATACTGTTATACGCAAGGCATACAACTCCAAGGCCTATCTCCATGAGTCCAACTTCTCATTCTAATCCTCTCGGTTCCCCTAAGGATGATATCATCAGCAAAAAGCATGGGGCATGATACGGGCGGGTTCTTGGATATGCTTGGTAAAAACGTCCAATACTAATGTAAAAAGATATGGGCTTAAGATGTTTCACACTTTCATCGCAATAGATGCTTCACGACAGAAGATTTATTTTGACCATCAGTGTTATCACAAGGAGATAGATTGACACTGGTTGAACGGGTTCACCAATGCTTCCCAGATCAACGACAATTTCTTTCCACAGATGTGGACCACGAAATTCGGAGAAAGGGACATGGATCTGACAAAGAGGGAGAACATGTGCTCCAGGAAAGACGCGTGGTGAATGGCAAATTTGTTCTACCCTTAATCGCCAAGAGCCGGAAGACCTCAACTCTAATCGAAAGAAATCTAGCAGCACTGAAGATGAAAGAGAGAGTTGAAGATCTAAGGATAGAAATCTGCAAACCTAGGAAGAGGTTGAGTGGTGAATAAATGATGAGCCAATGAGGGCTAAAATAGACTTTATATCCCATATTTAGTTGCTTAAAAAAAGTGGACAAATATACGGAGATGACCCAAAAAGAAATAATGTATAAAAACAATGAGAGGGGAAGAAGTAAAATGTAAGTGGTTGAAATCTGTTTCTAAGAGAAAGCAATGTTTTATGCCAGAAATTGCTTTCCTTAATCGGAACGTGGGGATGGGTAAACTTTATTTGTGGACATCTTGAAGAAGAAAATATAAACTTCTTTTTGTGATGGAGGGAGTACTAAATTGGTATTTAAACCCAAAACTTCAACCTTGTTACACAATGAGGCTTATGTGTTAGAGCCAAACTAACTCATCTAAACAATGCACAATTACAGGCTTTAGCTTGAGCATCTTATATATAACACATTTCAGGCCAGCCCTAGGGAATAAACAAATTGAAATCTACTTTTCTCTTCATTTAGTAATGGTCTCAAGTCCTTGCCCTAGATGGATAAATGGCTAATATCAAATAAATCATGAAGTTCTCAATGGCACGCTAAGGAGTAATCATGATGAAGAAAAACAAGAGAATAACACTAATTTGCTACTCCCTCCTTCCATGTTTAATCTTCCCATTTGCTTTTTACACAAATTCTAAGAAAGGTTAGATTGTGTAGTTGAAATTTGTTGAGATTTGAGAGAATTAACAAGAACCAAACAATTCTTTGTTTAAAAGGAAATGGAACGATTGATTTGGGACATCCAAAAAAGGAAAGTGGGAAGATGAAAAGGGGATTTGAATTCATCGAAGTGTAACCCTTAATGATTAAAAATTTAGTTGTAAATTACCAAAGCAATAAAATAGATGTTGGATCACATAGAGATTCCATCAAGTTGGGTTAGAATAAGTATTTTACTATAAGAACTCACCTCCAAAAGCCTCTCCTATGCACTGCAGCCCCATGCAAACACCAAATAATGGAATTATAGGTCCCAATTCCAGTACAGTTTGTAATGATATTCCTGAATCTTTGGGAGCTCCTATGATCATTAAAAATAAAAAAAGGCACTTATTTCTGCTGGAATGGTGAAAAGAGATGAAAAATAGTAACAAAATGAAAGTGCTGCAATAGAATCTCCTCAACATTCTTATTACCAGGGCCTGGTGATATGACAATTCCCCTTGGATTTTTCCTATAAAGATTGAAACAAAATTGTCATACATTCACCTAACTAAAGAAACGCTTTGGCTAATTGACTAATTCTCTGGGTTAAGTTAAATTTGAGAAATCAAATAAGCATACATATCACCATTGCAGCAAGCCAGTAATTTTATCATTAACATTTCGTTCTGCTTGGAATATGAAATTCCACATGCCACATGCTTCACTCATAAATCAAATTTTTAAACATGAATATAAAAATGTGGAAGGAAAAAGAGTCCCCATTTACCCTGTAACTTTAGAAAACATAAAACAAGCAACTATTCGTTTAATTACTAACACATAAGCAGAAAGCAGTGTCATTTCTGATTGAGAAACCAAACAAGCATGAGACTTCTTTAAAAAATTGGCATTTCATGAGTATCAGGTTAAAAGAATAACTAAATGCAATATACAGGTTTGACTTACTTCTTCAATTCATCCACCGTGAGATCATCATTCCTATAAACCTCAAAGTCGCATCCCAACTCTCCCATATACTTCAAACCACAAATCAAAAGAATGCTAATTAAAGAATGAACGCAATCATAAACCAAAATTTTTTGAAAGGGACTGACTTGGCACAAGTTGTAAGTGAAGCTATCATAATTGTCGATAACAACGATGGAATTCCTTCCTCTCTTAGCTGTGTCTGTGGATTCCTCGACTGCTAACGCGGAAGAATTTCGCGAAAAGGCCAAAGGCGCTATAGTAGAACTCCTCTTCAACCAAAGCCCAGCAGCGGATGATGTGCAATTAGGAATTGCGAATGTTTTGGTGGGCTGAAGAGCTGAAATCTTGGTTTTTAGGTTAATAGAGGGGGATTGGGTGGGCGAAGGCAGTACAACGGCAGCCATGGCGGAGAAAAGACACTGCGGCGTTGGGTTTAGACTTCGTCCCTCTGGTTCGGGAAGTGAGTCGTCCCGATGGCAAGCAATATGAATTGCGGTCAACTTTAGAAGGCCAGCGGGCCAGGTTGCGGGTGTTCCTAGGGTCGAACCTGGACGGACCCGGCCCGGACCAGGACTGAATAAGAGGCTTATTGTGGACTAAGGACCGGACCTATTAAGGCAACGATCGGTCCGGGACTGGACTGGTAAAACCCAAATCGGACTGCGATCGGATTGAATAAGTGTAATTTTTTATTTTTTTAAAATTTTATTTTATTTGTTTAATTTAAAGTATTCAATTGCATAAAAATTTTACTACGATTATATTTTAATGTGTAACATACACTAAATATTGCCAAATATTGTTGTTTTTAGTTTTTTAAAAAACATTAAATAAATATATATCCTTCATCCGTATTACATAAAATTTGTTCGTAATTTTTATTTTACATGGGGAATATTCTTCTTCTTACTGCATTTTTTCTTTTATGTAAAATTTTTTTGTGTTTTCGGTTTATTTTGTCAAATAGATACATTTTTTACTATTTTTGTTCATGAGATTGTTTATAATGTTTATTTTTTATAAATATAAATCTCTTTCCAAATCCGACCAATAGCCCTTGGATTTTGGTGACTCGTCTTCTTCTTCTGCACGAATAGATTTCACGCAACTTCTCGATCTATCGGCGACAACACCAATACACAATTTCTCCTTCTGCACGATCACTGATCAATCGATGACTGGCTTCAGCGTCGACGATCTCCTCCCATTGTGTAGCCGGATTGCACTTTGGCACTCTGTTATCCCCGATGTCGCCAAGGTGGCTAGGGATCTTGAAACCCTAACCGGTGGCATTTTCGAGCGGCCCCCATTGATCTCCGTAGTCCAATAGAATAGAGATTTGGTAATGGACAGAATGAATTGTTTGAATACCTAAAGACCCTTGAACCCCAAAACCTGAAAGTGTGAATTTAATTGTGGGAGAATTTCATAATTCTTGCATCATCTGACCATCCCTTGCATACCTTTCATCTTGAGCATATAGGTGGTTTATAGGTTATACATTTGGCTTATCATATGTCATACGGAGGAGTTATTTAGGAAAATGGGAACTTTCGAGCATGACGCCGAGAAGCACTTGGTTGTGTTCTGGATCTCCTGCGAGGAAGGAACTTATGTGAGAACCATGTGTGTTGAAATCTTAATCACCGTTGCTTGTGCAAAGCAATCCAAATTGTCAGATTGTTGTCTCTTTGTATCCTTTCCTATTGCTTCGAACCAGAGCCTTGTCTTCTTTTTTATTTTTTCTCTTTTAATCAATTTGGGCCTCCGCAATAATGAAGAACAGTCCATTAGTATCTTAACAAGTCTTTACAATAAAATAGATGGAAATCTATTTAGGTCTACATAGAATTAACAATCCATAAGTCTTACATAATACATGGATTATAAAAAATTAACATAATCTTTTAAAATCTAAGTTGAATACACACCACTTAAATCTTAGTCAACTTCTTCCTCCCTTCATAGGGGTCTGATAAAAAACTCAGGGTCGGATGAGCTTTTTTGTATTTTAAAAGTTAGTGAGTATTCAATTGAGATTTTGAAAAATCATATAAAATCTAGATGTAATCAAGTGAGATTTTGGAAAATCATTTAAAATCTAGGCGTATTCAATGGAGATCTTAGAAAATCATTTAAAATCCAGAAGTATTCCATTAAAGTTTTATGGGGTAAATTTTACCAATGATACCTGAACTTTAGCTGGAATTTCGAAGTAGTACCTAAACTTCAAATCATTTCACAAAAATCATAGAACTTACACAATCATTTCACTAAAAGTCCATTTGCCCATTTCTTAGTTAACTTCCGGTCATTTGGGCCAAATTAGAATTTTATATATTTTAAAATTTTCAATTTGACCCCATTTCTTTTTTTCTTTTCTTCTGCTCGCTGCCGTCGCACCACGTCAAAGTCTCCGGAAAATCAACCTGGTCATATTCCAGCGGGACCAACGTCGTTCTCTTCGTCTTGAGAGAACGTCATTGGTCCTGCCAGAATCTGACCAGGTTGATTCTCCGGTGACTTTGACGTGGTGCGACGGTGGCGGGGAGCGCAAGAAAAGAAAAAAAGAAATGGGGTCAAATTGAAAATTTTAAAATATATAAAATTCTAATTTGGTCCAAATGACCAGAAGTTAACCTAGAAACGGGCAATTGGACTTTTAGTGAAAGGATTGTGTAAGTTCAGGGATTTTTGTGAAAGGATTTGAAGTTTAGGCACCACTTTGAAATTACAGCTAAAGTTCAGGTACCATTGGTGAAATTGACCCAAGTTTTATAACATCTTTCTAAGTCTAATGGTTTTAAAAATTGATAGATTCTCAAATATATTTTTTATAAATTATGGATTATGATGAATTTTTAGTTTTGAGTATGAATAAAAGTCTTGTTTGTAAATCCAACAAAAAACGTAGGGATTTTGCTGACCTTCCTTCTCCTCTCAAGCCTAGCTATTGTTCACTATCTTCAATCTCCAAGATTGGGTTCTCCTCTTTGACATTTGCTAGAACTCTGCTACTCCAAAATTTGACAGCGCTCTAGACAGAAATTTTCCATAGCAAATTACGTGAAATCTTGTAGTGTAAATTCACTTCTCACGAGCCCAACTGAGAACCCTTCATCTCCCTCTTCTTCCTTGTCCATTCACACCAAAATGTACATCTTTTCGTTTGATATTTATCTTCCATGTTCTTTTGATTAAGGTACAAAGATCAACCATAGCACTATAATTGAACCTGTTATTTTTGTAAACATACCTTGATATACTACTTTCAGTCAACGAAAGAAAGTTGAGTATGATGAAACGAATATGAGACGCCACTTGAGCGTCATCACCTATGAATATGAATTGATACAGGGACCCATTGACGGTAATCAGAATTATCACGAATGTGAGCGAAGAAAATGGTTCGACGTAAGATCGATAATGACGGACTACTATACCACCAATTGACAATACTTTCTCACAAATGGTGATAAGTCCGACATTCTAAAAACCCTAAACCAAAAGTCGTTTCATGTCACTTACAAGTCATTACTAAACTCTATGAATGTTGTGAAGATTTCTTGAGTAAACTCGAAGGTTATGCTATGACGTGTGAATTGAAGCAACCTCCAAATCTCCAAATTATACCTCCCGTGAACTTGATAATTCAAAACTACAAATGTCATTGAAGTACTTTCAATCAAAGAAAGAATATCGTCATGCAATTAATGGTTTGAGAATACATATCCTTAGGGACAACGACGTAATCATGAATTAACTGAATAAACATGATGCAGTCATATGACATGACTAACATGAATACAAACAAGATGTTGATCATTGAGCCTTAGAAGAATTTCGATGGCTAAGGGCTTGTTTGGTGAATTTAGAGAAATGATCATATATGAGTTATGAAATCTAGGGAAAATGATATGGGTTTTGAAATCTGAAATGAATTTGTTTGGAGAGATTTCAAATCACGATTTAATTAGTGATAAGAGGGGGTGACTGGCAATGGAGTGGTTGATGGTGACAATGGTAGCGAGTGACAAAGAATTATCAATGGTTGAGAAAGATATCAAACCCTCATATTATTATCTCTCAAATTCAAGAGATATCGAAACCCTTCATTTGAAGGATTTATAATATCTAGAGATATTGAATTTGATATATTTTTTGAATTTACCAAACATTTAAAAAGAATTTTGATATCTGGAGATATCAAAATCCATATTTTGTTTGCTCACCCAACACACCCTAAATTCCGTTAAGGGGAGATATGTAATGCCCAAAACACACCCTAAAAGTTATATTGAATTATTATTCAACTAAACAAATTTGTTTTGATTAAAATAAATTATTGTTGGCCCTTAGGACAAAATTGAATGTTTTGATATTCAATATCACAATTTGGATGAATCTCATGGAGATTAAATTTAATATGTTGATTATTTGTGTGATGTTGATTGAGAACAAGAGTACAGATCTAAAGCGAAAATAAAAAATTGGATTTATGATGTGAACTTTTGAGATGATATATTAAAATAAATCATGAGAATAAATTATATGAATTGAATATAAAAACCTTACGAATAAAAGATTAATTAAATCAGTATTGACCCTGTCAAGTCAAACACCCAAAAATATGATGTTGAAAAAAGTATTAAAAATAAATATAAAAACTGTATCGTTAGATAGAATTTGAATGTCTGATCGCAACGGTGCAATCAGATTGTAACTCGAAAAGAGTTGGACCAAAAAGTGAGTGACGCCCCAAAACATACCCTAAAATTATTATTGAATTATTATTCAATTAATCAAATTTATTTTGATTAAAATAAATTATTGTTGTGCTTTGGGCCAAAATAAATATGTTTTGATAACCAAATATCACAATCGGGATAAATCTCATAGAGATAAATCCAATATGTTGACTATTTGTGTGATCTTGATTATGAACTAGAGTATAGACCCAAATTAAGAATAAATAAAGATTTTGATTTATGATGTGACCTTTTGAGATGATTTATTGGAATAAATCACGAGAATAAATGATATAAATTAAACGTGAGAACCTTTTTTAATAAAGGTCAATTAAATCAATTTTGACTCTGTCAAAGTCAAACAACCAAAAATACATTGTCAAAAAAAGTATTATAGATAAATAAAAAAATTATATTATTGGATAGAGCTTGATTGTCTGATCGCAACGGTGCAATCAGATTGCAATTCAGATAAAGTTGGACCAGAAAGTGTATCCCGACTTGGACCAAAATTAGTCCCAATCAAGGGAGATGTGTACAAGCGGTGCTTCCTCCTCCACTACGAGATACGTCGATCAAGATGATGTAGTAGGCCTTGGCAGCATCCCCATCTTCTTCTTGTATAAGGCTACCCAATCCTTTTCATTCTTAACAGATTTCTTTAATTCTTACTTCTATTCTGTTTTGTGTTAAGAGAGGTCACCGGAGCTAGCGACAAACC